CGGTGGTAGTAATAATTAATGATAATGCACCGCCTCTATCATGGCCTTTAGGTGTCATAGAAAAGCTGCATCCGTCTAAAGACGGCAGCGTCCGCGTCGTTTCTGTCCGCACTTCTAAGGGCATACTTGTGCGACCTGTGGTCCGCTTGTGTCCTATCCCTACACAATAATTTAGTCTTTTTCCATTTCTCCTACTTAGTTATTTCCGCTTTATACATTTTCTTTAAAGACGGGGGAAAACGGTAAAGCCAAAACATATTCTAGTCTCTAAATTTCATACAGTGTCATTCTCTTTTCGAATTAACCGCATTCAAATAGATCCTTCTCCTTCAAACACTGTGCCTTATGCTTATTAGGGAAGAAGACGCAATATACACTTCTGGACACATCTATTGGCCCACCTTAGAGTTAAGGTTTCGATGGCCCCTACCGAAATATGATTGCTAGATTGAACAAAAACTGTTGATGCAGTTTTAAACCTGATACATTTTACCATCTTTTTTCGATCGTATTGTTTTAAAGTTGAATTCAGAATACCATACGACATGGAGCTACGCCTAACAAGTCGGATATGCGCCTTGTTAAAGGCAATTGATTTATGAATAAAAAACATGTTTTATCAAATAAAGTTTTAATTTAATAACGCGTGTTGCCTCCATGGGCATCTACCACAGCTCTCATACGATTAGGCATAGAGTTTATCAACCGCTCTATGAAATTTTGAGGGATCATCTCCCATTTATCTTCTATGGCAGTTTTCAACTCCTGCATCGTCTGGGCAACTGGCTGACGAGCCCTAACACGTCTTTTTAGCTCGTCCCACATGTGCTCAATGGGGTTCATGTCTGGGCTTCTGGCTGGCCAGTCCATAACTGTGATGTTCACATCCCGAAGATATTCCCTGACGATGCCGGCCGCATGGGCTCTTGCATTATCATGCATAAAAAGGAAATTTGGGCCCACATAGTCCGCGTATGGTATCACGTGAGGTTCTAAGCACTCATGAATGTACCTTTCAGCATTTAATGTTGGCAGCCGTGGTCCTGTAACAACCTCAAGTTGAGTTTTGCCGCTCGCGGATATACCGCCCGAGATAGTCCATGAGCCACCGCCATAAGCAACCCTCTCTTCAAAGCATCATTGTGCGAAACGCTCTAACTTACGTCGTTAGACCTTCTTCCTTCCATCATTGCCATGTAACACAATTTTAGACTCATCAGAAAAGAGTACACGACTCCAATCTTGCTGTGTCCAATTTAAATGACTGCGTGCGAAATGAAGGCGCGCTGTTCGGTGGGCTCGCGTTAGTTTGGGCCTATTAGCTGGCTTGTGTGGTACCATATCGCGGTCTTTTAACCTTCTCCGAACAGTTCGAGCGCTCACAGATACTCCGTGGAAGTCGCGAATTTGTTTTTGTATCTCAATGGAGGTAAGGTGACGATTTCTCAAGCTGGTCGTCACGATGAATCGATCCTGCCTTTCAGTTGTGACCCGAGATCGTGGTCTTCCTTGGCGACGAACAAAGCCGCCAGTCTCTAGGTACCTCCGATAAACATTTCGGACCGCAGATCGACTTAAATTAAGTTGAGCACTCACTTTTCTTTGGCTGTGTCCGGCCTGAATAAGTGCCACAGCTTGGGCGGCGACTTCAGGTGAAGTATCCATAGATTATTGATAGAACCTCACCTTAATGTTAAGAATAAGTAATGTTTGTTGCAAAACCAAAGATATCAATCACTTGAAAAAAATTCCACGCGGACCAGGCAGCAGACGGGACTCGAACCCGCACCCTTCGCAATCCGGGCGAATGCACTGACCAATTATGCTACCGCGGCCCTCACGGACCGCGTCGAAATTCTTTCTAGCTATTCTTAAGCTGCAAGGCAGCGCCATCTCTTCGCATTATAGGTAAACCCACAATGTCAAATGAATACTTTTACAAGTATTAAACATTTGAAAGAAGAAATAGCAATTATAGTTATAATTTTTATTATTTTTAAAGCATGTAACTGCTTGATGTTTAAATCTAAAGAAAATATAACTAGAAAAAAATTCCACGCGGACCAGGCAGCAGACGGGACTCGAACCCGCACCCTTCGCAATCCGGGCGAATGCACTGACCAATTATGCTACCGCGGCCCTCACGGACCGCGTCGAAATTCTTTCTAGCTATTCTTAAGCTGCAAGGCAGCGCCATCTCTTCGCTTAGTATTCGATTGTTTGATATCATCAAAAACAGGCTCCAAATTGTCTTTTGTTTCTTTAAATTCTGTGTTCGAAATTCAAAAAAAGACTATTGAATGAAATTGTGAATGTGCCAGGTTCAAAACTGCATAAAAACTTTTTGCTCGACCTAACATAAAATTTTAGCTATCACCAAACGAAACTGAAAATACAAGGTGGGCCAATAGATGTGTCCAGAAGTGTATTTGCCTGCAACGACGGATGGCCGGAAGGAAATGGCTCTGTCAGCAGGCTGTCACCGCATCAACAAAAGAAAAAGAAGTTCTGTCACCGCGAAAGAACGAAATGGTCGAATTTAACATCGCGCCGCCGCAAGTTATTGTGATTATATTTTCCCGCATTAAACTCCGATAACGTGTGAAGATTAATAAACAATCTTTGTTAAATAAACAGATTTCCTCAAAAATAGGAGGTTGTGTGTGTGTGTGATAGCTTTAGCGATAGCGGGATTTTCTTGACCGCCATCTTGAACCGCTAGCATCAGGAACAGACTGCTGCAGGAGAAGCTGACGTATGAGCCAGTGCCACCGTCGAGGCCCTCCGTAAGTAAGCACAGTGTTTTGTCCTCATCCTATCCCATAGACCAAACCCCTTTAAAATTTCGAACCAACACCTACAGTCCACTCTCCGGGGTTTCGACCCCACCAGATATCCTTTACCGCATTCGGCTTCACCAGTAAGTAAAGGTCAAGAAAGGTTCTAGAAAAGGTCCTTAATAACCATCTGACCCGCTACCTAGAGGATCACTCCCTGATTAATGATCGCCAATATGGTTTTAGACCTAAACGATCGACGGGTGATCTTCTAGAGTACTTAACTCATATCTGGGGTGAGGCTATCGACAAGCATGGCGAGTCGTTGGCTATCAGCCTTGACATTGCCAAGGCGTTCGACAAGGTCTGGCACAAAAGCCTTCTCTCCTAGCTTCCGGCATACGGTCTGCCAGCCCAGTTCTGTTCTTGGGTAGCTGACTCCCTGCATGAGCGTAGAATTCGTGTCCTTACGGATGGTAGCAGTTCGCGGTTCATGTCAGTGAATGCCGGCGTTCCCCAGGGCTCCGTCCTATCCCCCACTCTCTTTCTGCTGCATATCAATGACTTAATTCCTCTTGGGAATATACATTGCGATGCAGACGATAGTACAGTGAATGCGGGGTATCTCGGACAAGCAGCGGCTGGGCAGGCGGTAACCAAGGAGAAACGGGAGAATCTTGTCATTGAACTCAATCAGGCTTTGGACCACATTTCCGAATGGGGTACCAGGAACTTGCTTGAGTTCAATGCCAAGAAAACTCAGGCTTGCGCTTTCACGGCAAAAACATCGCCATTCCTTCCCCTTCCCTCTCTTCAGGGCACAACACTACCGCTACAGAGCAACATTTCCATGCTCGGTATGGAAATTCGCTCAGACCTGAATTCAAAGAACTACATCGAAACCGTGTTCAAAACAACTTCACGCAAACTCGGGAGTCCCGAACAAGGTGCGGCGTTTTTTCACGCCCGATCAACTGTGCTTGTTGTACAAAACGCAAGTGCGGTCCTGCGTGGAATATTGCTCGCACCTCTGGGATGGCTCCGCCAAGCACTTGCTCGATGCTTTGGATAGATTACAGCGGCGCGCGATCCGCATCATAGGCGATGAGGAGGTGACTAAACACCTTGAGCCTCTTCAATTACGTCGGGACGTGGCGTCACTAAGCGCATTCTATCGTCTGTACCATGCGAGTGTTCTGAGGAGTTATTCTCTCTTATCCCACCTTCTCCAATTCGTCATCAGCTACCGTGCCCAACAAACAGATGACGTGTGGCCTATCTTGTTGTCTTTCTCTAAAACCTGTAATATCTTAATAAGGATGCAAAGATTCCAACACTGACAACCAGGATTTCACAACTGGCAAATAAGGTTTCATGCACCAGTTTATATCATCCAGTTGGTTCTCAGTAACGGCGGCTAACGATAATGACGTGTTACCTGAATTGTTAACGATTTCCATTACAATAATAATAATAAATCAATATTTGGCATTCAGCAATTACGTTAGCCTCAAAGTAACTTTAAAGCTTGTGTTATGGGATACTAGGAAAACGGAACGAAATACATATTTCAAACTTTATGGTGGCTGCGAAGTTATGCGCAGATTTCAATTCAGTAACATACCGGGCGTGCCTACATTTCATTTACAATACAATACAATACAATACAAAAACTCTTTATTGTACACCACAAAAAAACATTGAACATAAAGTATAAAACCATCTAGTACACGTGATGCAATGGGCGTTGTAAATCGCTAGTAAAATATATAATATACATATTAGTATATACATACATACACCATACACATATAAGATATATATACATACAATAAGTATAAATACAAATACATACATTGATCCAGTCCAGTTAGGAGGCAGTTGTAAGCACATGAGATATTAAAATAAAAGTATTAAAATGTCAGAAAATGGGAATTCAGACTGTTTTTAAATGTATAAATAGTTTCCGCACGTCTTATCGAAACCGGAAGAAAATTCCATAGATGTACAGCTTGCGCTGCAAACGAACGGTGGAAAAGAGTTGTGCCGTTTACGGGAGTCATAAGTGCAAGATTTTCTGATGATCTTAAAGATAACGTGTTAGAATTATGCAGGAAATTAAAACTTTCCTTGAGATAGGGCGGGGACTTAATATCGCGGCATGCACCAACTTATAATAGTCTAATAATAGTCGCCACTAATTTTGAATCACACTATACTTACGAATATCTTCGACGTGCCGCGTCAGGACGTCCACTAAGGTCGCTAAGGTCTCCTCAATATTAGCACCCACGGCCTTCAAATAGGCTCTGTTTGTTTCCCTAACCGCAGGGTCCAAGTGGTCAATGCTTGCCAGGGTCAATGACTCCCTTCTCGGCACTGAATTCTAAAATCAAAATACTTTATTTCTAAAATTCGATTTAAACATGATATTGAGATGTATGTACAGTAGGGATGCAACGATACCGATACAGAAATTTGAACAAATATAAATGACTGTCATATGCTGTTGTCAAATAACAATCTTTGGTAAATAAATACAGTAATACTACATATAAGTTCTTAAGAGCCCTGTTGAATACACAAATTAAAAGTATTTTTAATCAAATAGGAATTACAAAACATCTCTGTCGAACAGTCCAACATATCCCCCGTGACTATTTCGGGACTATTTTGGGTGAAAAAGAAACGGCGAGAATAACACAATGAAACAAAAAAAAAAATAACAACAGCACTTACAAATTTCCTTGCCATTACGTTACTGTGTTAATCTAATATATAAAATTCTCGTGTCGCGGTGTTTGTGGTTTAACTCCTACGAAACGGCTTTCCCGATTCTCATGAAATTTTGTGTGCATATTGGGTAGGTCTGAGAATCGGACAACATCTATTTTTCATCCCCCTAAATGTTAAGGGTAATCGAACCCTATTTTTTTTTTTAATTTTATATAATTTTTTTGTTTAATTTTTTTATGATACATCATACAAAAATACATACAACCCTAAATCACCCTTCTACGACCAACCCCTATTTTTTATGGCGGTACGAAGTTCGCTGGGACAGCTAGTGTCTTATAAAATAATGGAAACAATAAAATTAAAGAGTAAATAAAAGATTAATGCGCCCTTCTTTGTGACGGACGGACGGATGGACAAACTGAGTAATAGGAACCGTTGTCACTCTTAGGGTAATCTTCATCATCTTTATTTTGACAACAAATTAATGTCCCCAATGCTGGGACAGGCCTTCCCAATGGATGGAATAGAGAGACCCAGGTTACGAAACTCCAATAAGCGTTTCATACAAGCAAGTGGCTCGCCCGATGGTAAGTGGCCACCGTAGCCTCAATTGCAGCCTCAAGTGTCACTCACGCGTCTATCATCAGCATATTAATAATTACTAGCTTCCGCCCGCGACTTTCACCACGTTATAGTTAAGTTTTTTAAGAACCCCAGAGGAATCATTTAAATAACATTTTTAGGGATAAAATGTAACCATGTGACTGTGAATCTAGGTAATAAACTATACATATATATATTTTTTTTTTATAGATAGATCCGACAAATGACTCCACCCCACCTGATGTTAAGTGAAGGTGAAGTCCAGACGCGAAGATAGCTGATACAGCAGTTCTAACTGCCACACCAGCCATCCTCACCCTGCCGGCTTGCAAGTTGCTTCTTCACGCCTCTTTTAAAGGATCCCAGGTTGTAAGAGGGAGGGAACACGTGAGCGGGCAGAGCATTCCATTTACGGATAGTACGACAAAGAAATGAGTCACCAAATTTCTTTGTACGCGTTGGAATTGTAGCCACAATTAGACGGTGACAACGTAAGCCAGCGCGCGTGGTCCTCTGAAGGAAAGGGGAAGGTGGAATAAGAGAGAATAACTCCTCAGAACACTCGCCGTGGTACAGGCGATAGAACGCGCTTAGTGATGCCACGTCACGGCGTAATTGAAGAGGCTCGAGGTGTTTAGTCACCTCCTCATCGCCTATGATGCGGATTGCGCGCCGCTGTAACCTATCCAAAGCATCGAGCAAGTACTTAGCGGAGCCATCCCAGAGGTGCGAGCAATATTCTACGCAAGACCGCACCTGCGTCTTATACAACAAGCACAGTTGCTCGGGCGTGAAAAAACGCCGCACCTTGTTCAGGACTCCGAGTTTGCGTGAGGCTGTTTTTATCACACTTTCGATGTAATTCTTTGGATTTAAGTCACAGCGAATCTCCATACCGAGCATGGTGATACTGCTCTCTAGCTCCAGTGTTGTGCCCTGAAGAGAAGGACATAAAAGGAATGGCGATGTTTTTGCCGTGAAAGCACAGACCTGGGGGCCAATCGCCTAACTGGATTGCTTTGGAAAACGCTATCGCTTACGATTTCATTTTGTTATTTCTAGCCGCCTGAGGTTTTCAAATGCCTCGCGCTCTTTATTTTCTTTTGCATTGGTAATAACAATGTTAAAGAAAATGAGCGTGAGGTATTTGAAAACCTTCGGCGGTTAGAAATAACAAAATGAAATCGTAAGCGATAGCGTTTTCCAAAGCAATCTGGTTAGGCGATTGGCCCACTGGGTTTTCTTAGCATTGAACTCAACCAAGTTCTTGGTACCCCAAACAGAAATGTGGTCCAAAGCCTGATTGAGCTCAATGACAAGATTCTCCCGTTTCTCCTTGGTTACCGCCTGCCCAGCCGCTGCTTGTCCGAGATACCCCGCATGCACTGTACTATCGTCTGCATAGCAATGAATATTCCCAAGAGGAATTAAGTCATTGATATGCAGCAGAAAGAGAGTGGGGGATAGGACGGAGCCCTGGGGAACGCCGGCATTCACTGACATGAACCGCGAACTGCTACCATTCGTAAGGACACGAATTCTACGCTCATGCAGGAAGTCAGCTACCCAAGAACAGAACTGGGCCGGCAGACCGTATGCCGGAAGCTTGGAGAGAAGACTTTTGTGCCAGACCCTGTCGAATGCCTTGGCAAAGTCAAGGCTAATAGCCAACGACTCGCCTCGCTTGTCGATAGCCTCACCCCAGATATGAGTCAAGTACGCTAGAACATCACCCGTCGATCGTTTCGGTCTAAAACCATATTGACGATCATTGATCAGGGAGTGATCCTCTAGGTAGCGGGTCAGATGGTTGTTAAGGACCTTTTCTAGGACTTTACATAATACTGAGGTGACTGCTATTGGCCGGTAGTTAGCCGGGTCTGAGCGATCCCCTTTTTTGGGTACCGGTTGCACGTTAGCATCTCTCCAAGCTTCCGGCACACGCCCCAAAGAATACGAGCACTGGTACAAACGCGTGAGCACGGGAGACAACTCTGCTGCACATTTTTTCAGTACTACTGCTGGGATGCCATCGGGTCCACTAGCTTTCCGGACGTCGAGTGATTGCAATTCGGCACGAACCTCACGCTGCCTGATTTTGATATCCGGCATCGTTGTGCCACAATGAGGAAATGATGGTGGCGGTGCATTGCAATCATCGATTCGGGAGTTAGCCGCAAAGAGTTTTGCCAGTAAATCGGCTTTCTCCTGCGGCTTATGAGCTAGTGTTCCGTCTGGGCATCTCAGAGGTGGCAGCGAGGGCTGGCAGAAGTTCTTTTGCACGGCCTTGGCCAAACGCCAATAGCTACGGGAGCCCGTAGGATGCGTTATAAGTTCGTGACCAACACGTGCTACGCGCTGGGCATCCGCTCTGATGTAAGCCTTCTTACAGGCCTTGGAAGCAATATTGTAGGCTGCTTTTAGTGAATCGACCCCGGGATCCTTAATAGCGCGGCCTCTGATCCAAGCACGATATGCCGCTTGCTTACGCGAAGCAGCTTCAGCACAGTCGTGATTGAACCAGAGGTTACGTGTGCCCTTACTGATGAGATTGGAATGAGGAATATAGTATTCCATACCCATTACAATCTCCTCAGTAATAGCAACGGCGCTGGCTGATAGGTCCTTGTCACTGAAGCAGCGCTGCTTCCAAGGGACGGTCGCAAAGTAGTCACGCATACCGTCCCAATCTGCCGACCCATAATGCCAAATCCGGCGTTTTACCACCGTTGGACGTGGAGGCTTGGCCTGTGGCGCTTTGGCAGATATCAGGCAGTGATCTGAAGAGCCCAGGGGGGCTCCTACCACAACCTGATAGCCCTGTGGATGGGTCGTGAGCAGAAGGTCCAGCAATGAAGGCGCTTGACTTGAAACATCTGGAATCCTGGTGGGCTGATCGACCAGTTGTTTCAAGTCCTGCGTGAGAGCGAACGCGTGAGCAGAGATCCCTGCATGGTCAGTTTTCGAGGAACTTAACCACAAATTGTGGTGAGCATTAAAGTCCCCCAAAAACACCAATTCTGCATTGGGAAATTGCTCCTGCGTGTCATCTGCTGCCCGACTAAGATGTTCGAAAAGTCGAGTTGTCTCAACATCGCCAGTGTGGGATCTGTAAAGGCACACGTAGACTCTGGCCTGGGGACCAGAATCGACGTGTACCCCCAACATGGAGAAGGAGGGATCTTCCAAGCAGCGAAGACGGCGACAACAAACATCCGCCCGAACATACAGGCATACACCGGCTTTCGCTTTGAAGGACTCTTCAAGCACGTAGCCGGGATAATTAAGGTAGCCTGTGTCAGCAGGCGGAAGTATTTGTGTCTCCGTCAGGAACAACAATGCTGGCCGTGCTGTCTCAAGATGGTGGTGGACAGCATTGAGGTTAGAGTGGAGTCCGCGTATGTTGCAGAACTCGACCTCAAACAGCGTTGAAGGCGTGGGGGTGTGCACCGCTGTACGTCCAAACTTTGTTTTGAGAGCTGCCATTATGGAAGTGATAAAGAGACGTGAAACGAGTGGACGTTGTCGCGACAAGACCGGGCAAATTAGGGAGGCATGTTTCCCCGAATAATTGCCTGCAGAGGATATACGCCGACCCGCCGGACGGAAGGGCCCCCGCACCCCCCCGGAAGTGGCCGCCGGGACCCCACGCCCCGGTCACCAACCGGCACGACGGTCCACCCCGAGATTATGCGTGATATGATGGGGCAGCCTCGCGAACTGGTTAGGAACGCTCGGGCCCCTGTACTGTGCCACGGGCGGCCAGCGGGACAACCGTTTTTAAAGGACGATTTCTGTGATAAAAACTGTCCTGCCCTTCCCGGAACCTAAACTATCGCTATACCAAATTTCATCAAAATCAGTTCAGCGTTTTAAGCGTGAATAGATTACAGACAGATAGACACACTTTCGCATTTACAATATTGGTAAAGATGGTATGGATTCTCTGGATGGAGTATAGATGGAGAAAAACTCATGAGCGACCAATGCTAAATATGGCATTCATTGAGATATGACCGTGACAATTTTAAGCGATTTGTCCCA